TGAAAAAATTGAGATATGATTAAAAATACGATTTGAGCATCTTTTAACCGATCAGGACAAGGCACTAATAATATTAGATGATCAAATCTATTTTTCCAAGGCTCCTTGATTAAAAATTTGTTTTCTTTTTAAGACAGCCATGGCACTCTAAATTGAAATTTAAAATTCAAATTTGCTTTAAGCAAAAATGTCAAAATTTGACATATGATATGTCATTCTATTTAGAACGTTATTTGCTATCGAATAAAGTAAAAAAATACCGAGGGTGCCATTTAAAAATCAAAAATTGTAGTCATGTCCGGTGAAACAGGAAGTGACAGAAAACAACTGAATACGTCAATCAATCCTAATTTATGTCATATACTAACATACCAAATCTCATTTTTTTACCTGAAAAAATAAAAAAAGTTTATAGAGGTGAGCCACTTTTTGAGATGCACCCGGTATACAGCTTGCTAAAAAATTCATGAAAATAGGGCTAAACTTAACAAAAATATAATGCTTTAAATTTGACAAAAATTTTCTCCGTTGCGTTGTTTTTGCATCTGAGTGGACTTTAATTTTACAGTAATTTTAAAATACAGTTTAGATATTATTTATTTTTATTTGAATCCTAATCCCTATTAATAAATAAAATGGTTCCACCTAAATCACATTAATCTATAACGCGATAAGCATGCTATTAAGTGGATAAGCCCGTTTTAGACACAACACTTGATAATTTAAATTAAAATCTAAGACCTAGCCCATCGGGGAGTGTCCCAGTGACATTTAGAAATGATACCGTCAACCGCAAAAAGGGACAGGGCTTGTATACCCCAGAGAACGCTGGTGTTCTCATAGAAATAAGTAAACTTAGAGGGTTTTGTAAAATATTTATTAATACAAAATCTTTGCTTTTTTGATTCTATATTTATAAGTTGTCATATTTCACAAAAATGTCAGTTTACTATTGAACACAAGTTTATAATATACATGCAGAAAATTTATTAATTAATTTAATCCTGTAATTTTTCCAAATTTTTACTTTTAGAGGTTCGGTACCTCAAAAAGTAAAACCGGAACCCTTATAAAACCCTCTCAAGGGAATCAAAATTAATAGGGTATTTTCCGTTGACCTAGAACTATGAAATTTGGCAAATAATACCATCTTATACTACAAGTGATCAAAACCTGAAAACAAAATCTGAAACACATTTGTAATTAAAACAAAAAAACAATTTCTTTCTTACACGAAGCAATTAACTACAAACAAATGATATTTATAAATTAGAGGATCTCTATGGTTGCATATTTCTCTGGACTGCTGTCTCTCGGGTTTGCGTGACCTCCTGACATCGGATAATACAGGGTGTGGACATTATCGTAATTTTTCTTTTTCGGTGTTTTAATAGTAGTTTCGTTTTTATTGTTATGTGCGTATATAAGTATAGGGATTTGTTGTTAAAAATTAAGATAACTTTTCTGGGACGATTCCTTTTATCTTTATTAGCTGTGATTGTTTTATTGGATAATTTTTATACCATATATATATTAAATTGTTTTGCAAGCTAATTTAGATACACGTCAGTATTTTTGGTTGATGATAAGTTCGAAATTTGTCTATTAAGTATAAGTTCAACAATTCCAAATATTTGCGAAAATGCTGTTTATTATATCCTAACTACTTCTTTGCCTAATTTGTTCAGCTTCTTTAGGCATTCTTTTTTTTTTAAGGAAGGATTTAATAAATTTACCAGTTCCACCCTGTACACCGTGACGATACTATAAAGAGCTTCGCTGTCAATTTTCATTGCGGAAATGACAAAGATATCGTGAAAATCCGTCGGGGAAACGTCTGTGTTAGTGGCCGATGCGCGCTTAATTGATTCTCAAAGGAAATTGTTTCCCTCGGACGGACCTTTGACAGCCCTGCCCTATTTGCCCGGGTCACGCGTATTTTTCCCATTGTGCCACACTGACACGATGACCATTAATCTAAATTGCATTGTTGGTGATTTCGTTCGAACCCCTGCTGCTCCACATTCGAAATGTTTTCGATGAAACTGGTGTGTATATAGCCTTTAACACGAATTCTCTATATTTTGTTTATCAGTGCTTTGTAGTTAGAGAAGATACTATATTGCCAAATTAGTCGAAAATATAATCCGATCCTGATCATACCTACAGACCTACACTCATTAAGAAAAAATAATATTTTTATTTTTATTATTCTATCATTAATTCGATATAGGGTGATCCACGGCGATCGATGGTACGTTTATGGAGAACCGCTGATGAAAATTTGAATTTGTCTCTTTGAATAAAAAGATTATAGGAGTATAATGGTTGATTCTCACTATACCTTCCGTTTCCATTCCATATTCGTTCCGTATTTTTATTGTATTGGCGCTATACGTAAACGGAAGCTTACCTTATCAGTTCCATATACTTTTTATTGTAGAATTTATATCATTACGAAAGTCTTACTTTAAAAATTCGTATCTTTTGAAAAAGGTAATAGATTTAATTAAGAGGTGAAAGAATAAATAGATATCAGCAAAATTTTCACAGAGCTGGTACAAATGTAAGAACTTGACAACGCTGTTTCCGATACGCTTGTCTGTCCGCCAAAAAAATGTATGGAAGGAAAGGATATGGAACGGAAGGGTAACGGAACGGATAGTGTGCATTGTCCTTAAGTCGGCCATTTTCGTCGCGGTCGATATAAGTTTTTTGATATGCTCCTTCCTTATTCAAATGGTGCGTTTAGACTTGAGCACGCACGAGCTGAGCGTGCGCGCACGGCATTCGTTCGCGCTCTCGGCTCCGTTCAAATTAAAAACTTATTTTTCGACGAATGAAGTGATCCATTTGTGCGCGCGCAGCAGAGTTGTGTTGGCGAAAATAATGGACGACCAAGAAATAGTCAAGGCTGCAGTCATTATTATGCACAGCTTAATTATTAAAAAGAAGAAAAATCGAAAACATCGTCGCTGGTGTCAAACCCAAATTTTTAGAAATCGATATAATTTACTGCAACAACTTAGTGTCTGAGGAGGGCTATGATCAGTTCAAAAACTTTACAAGAATGTCTAGGCCCGACTTTGAATATTTACAAAATTTAATAACACCAAAAATTACGAACAAAAGATACAAATTTTAGAATAGCAATTTCATTAATATCGACATATTCAATATTAATTTTATTTACAAGGTTTGGCCATGCGTTATATTTTTTTTTATTTTTTTAATAATACAAAGAATGTTTAACATTCCATAATATAGACAACTTTTCATATTTTTCAATTAATAATAACGAAAATTCATTGATCCACTCCATAATTTTAATAAAGAAAACGAAAAAAAATCACACACGCACGCACGAACGCAGACAAAACAAATTGCCGGTGCAAATTGAGCGTTAGCGCACATATAAAATCCTTTTGAGCACGGACCAGAAACCGACATCAGACGGCTCACGTTCGCGGCTGCTCGCGCACACACAGATTCAGAGTGAGCGTGCGCGCACAGCCGTTTACACTTGAGCATTCGCGGAGGATCAGTGCGTGCCTGCTCAAGTCTAAAGCTGGATTTATAAACTCGGAAGTTGGCGTTCAGTTGAGGTTCAGTTGCAGTTGGATGTTCGCGACAGTTGAGGTTCAATATTTTTGCATTTATAAACTGCCAGTTTCGGTTGTAGGTTAGGTTTGGAATTGTGAAAATTTCGAACGTTTTTCTTTCGATTTAAAAATACTTTTGGTATTTGTCAAAGTTCAAACACAGAAACACGCCAAACCAAACACAGTAATCCACGATTACGCAAAATATAAACATTACATTAATTGCAAAATATAAACATTTAATTAACAGAAATAATGAAACAACAATAAGGGTCATTTTCTAATGCCACGGCATACTGTGCTTCACTTTGAATAAGAAGACTAAGGAAGGAGCATATCAAAAATCTTAGGTACACCGCGATGGGCCTCAAATATGGCCGACTTAAATTCCGGTTTATCAGTGTCGTTCTAATTTTATTTAAAAAATGTAAAACTATGATGTAGGGTAGACGTGGGGTAGACTCAATAATTTGTTGTTTTATTTTACGTTGTGAATAAATGTTGGTAGTTATTAAAATTGTTATAAAAATATATAATTCTAATAAAAATAGATAAGTTATAATAAGTATTTATTAACACAAACACCAAAAGATCTGTCTAAAGTATTTACTGCATTACAATGTTGCTGCATCATTTGAAAAGTCGTAGCATCTTTCTTATTTTAAATGGAACACCCGATATATTATTACATTTTTGGCAACTACTTTCATATCTCATAATCTCCAACAGTTTTTGAGATCAAAAATAAAACATTTATAAAATTGACAAAACCATGATCTTAAATAAACATTGGTATAATCATGAATTGATCATTTTAAAAGGTGAAATTTGGGTTATAAGTTAACGAATTTGATCTGTTTAAATCAATCGATTGAAGATTACACAGGGATAGCAAAAAACAAACATGTGTGGCATACAAAATACTTTAAAACCTCGGAGAAAAGTCTTCATGACTCTCTCTAGATTTAATTAATCTTTCAACAATAATTACACGCCAGGTATACAGGGTGAGTCTTAAATAAGTGCAAATATTTTTAGTGATGGTATAATTCGACTCTAGAAACACGTATATGAGGTTTTTTTCGCCAAAAAAATTGAGAACTTAGATTTTTCTTAACTTTTAGTTAAAAATATAATACCTTCATAATACAGCAAAATAAATATAGTAGATTAAATTTACAAGAAAGAAAGTCCAAAATGAACCAATGCTTATCAAAATTTAAGCAAAAAATATATTTTTATTGGAAAAGTAAAATATCTCGGTTATTTTCGACTTATTTGAAAAACAGTAAAGGGAAAATATGTTTCTTTTATCGAGATCTACCGATCCTGAAAATATTTGCAATTATTTAAGACTCACCCTGTATAATATACTAACGATAAATAAAACACAAGTAGTAATGTCCAAAAATATCACATTTTATTCAACCGATCGCACATTTTCCAACATACATAAAAGAATACTCCAGCGCGGTCTCTTCTTGACGACGCGCCCCGCTCTACAGGCAGCCGCCATGGTGCTTCTTGCTGTGCCTGCGCCTGCTCCTATGCCTGCTGCGCCCGCGCTTTCCGCAGCGCCCGCGCGACCTGTGCCGCCTGCGCCCGCGCCTGCGCCCGTGCCGCCGGCCTCTCCTGCCCTTCCGGCCCCTCCGACCCTTCTGCATGCTGCACGCCTCATTGTAGAACTTCTGGCGCTCCTGTTTGTTCAACTTGCACCTGCGCAAGCGAAAAGTTGGAGTTAACACCTTTAAAAATACAGTCACCGGCACAAAAAACGGGCACCTTTGTCTTGTATTTTAAGTTTAATATACAGGGTGGTCCGAACTGTATTCCGGAAATTTCGTCAGCATATATTGCAAAAAAAATTAAGCTTTAAAATACATCACAATTTTAAGGTGCCCGTCTTTCGTACCGGTGAGTGTACATCAAACATTTTACACAAAAAACAACATATTATAGAAATGAAGTAAAAAGTGTGTTGGTAAAATAACAAAAAATTTTAAGAAATTTCATTGCAACTAAAACAGAACAACCCTTACCAGCATTTGGCACCTTCTATGGCGATCTTGCACTGAGGCCATCCGCAATGCTTTTTCCTAAAAACTCGTAGATAATTCAAGAAAGGATTGCGAGTCTTGGGTCCGGGCCGGGCACATCGTTTCTTCGATCTGGATCTCTTTCTGGACCTCCTTCTTCTGGATTTACCGCAGCGGCGACCACGTCTTCCGTGCTTTCTTCCATGTCTGGATAGAAAGAAAAACACTATGAAGAAATTTCTATATTTTTTTCAATAAACATCAAATTAATTACAATGAATAATTATCGATTTAGAGTATATAGGAACTGCTGATTAATACAAAGTTGGATTAATACTGTGTTAATTCATGAAAATACTTTGACATGCTGTTTGTGGCTATACAATATGAACAAGAGGAAAAACTTTTTTTATTATTGACATGTAACAATACAAAAGCTTTTCCTCTTGTTGTTGAAAGACAATTCGGGGACGTACTGTATATTTGAAGTTTTTTTAAGAAGCATGGATATACATACAACCAAACTTATATGGAATCATTTTTTATTTCTAATTGCAAGAAAAAAAATTCGTATACAACTTTAAGATAAGGCTTTTTATTGTAAATACACATAATAATAAAGAAAAAAACGACTGCTGCGATTTATTTATTCATGAACTAACGTGTACACGCGACTTCGTTCACGTCGAATTGATCATTTGTAATGGTGATGATAAAGCAAAGCAAGCATTTCCATTAACATACAAACTGGATTAAATTTTCTCACATTTTTTTACTCAGTGGTCATATTTTATGAAACACCCTGTATAAATTTTTAAAAAATCTTAAAATATGTAAAACAACAAAATAAAGTATACGTGTTCCGAAAAACTCACCGGTTTTTGAATAAAAAAATATTATAATATTTGAGGGGTAGTTTCACCCCCTTAGAATTCGAGTTTCGAAAAATCCCTTCTAATCGAACCTCTACACCCTCCTACTACCTCTTTACGTCAAGCGCTTTAAGCAGGATCGTGATTAATCAATGACCAGATTTTTCGAAACACCCTGTATACATTGTTAAAAAATCTTAAAATATGTAAAAAAACAAAATAAAATATACGTGTTTAAGCGTTTTTTCGGAAACTTGATCGTTTTTTAAATAAAAAATATTGTAATATTTGGGGGGTGGTTTCGCCCCCTTGGAACTGGAATTTCGAAAAATCCCTTCTTATCGAACCTCTACACCCTAGAATCAACCTGTATGCCAAAATTGAGCTTCTTACGTTGAGTGGTTTGAGCAGGATCGTGATTAATCAGTGAGTCAGTCACTTAAGGATTTTATATATTAGTATAGATTTGTGTTTAATAGTAATTTTCATTCGACCCAAAAAAATGCCTTATGTTGGATAAACAGATGCACGAGGAGAATAATTATTATTCTCATTGAACAAGGAATGCCCCAAAGAGACGTAACAGAGATAGTAGGCGTTACCTATGGTGTTGTATCGAAAACATATGCAAGGTCCTTGAAACTAGCAACTCTCTCAAGAACAAGCCCAGAGAAAGTCGTCAAAGAGTCACAACTGAACAACAAGACCGCTTTGTGTGCCAAATTTCTAGAATAAATCCCAATGTTTCTCGTCCAGAGCTACAGAGACAACTCCTGGCAGCTATAGGTGTGAACGTTTTAATTGAAATAAAAAAAAAAGTTTCGTGCTCTAGGGTGTACAGTAAGAGAGTGTTACGGATCCCAAAATAACATTGACCTGCTAAATTGATGCCTTCAACATCAAAACTGGACAATTGAGAATTGGCAAAATGATCTTTTTCCGAATGAGACCAGAATTGGCCTAAGATCAGATGACCATCGAATTCGCGTTCTCAGAGCTCCACGAAGACGAGCGAGGCTGGGGAGGTATTATGCTGGGGGAGAAAAAAACTCCATTGTTACCACTTCAACAAACTTTAAGGGGTCGGAGGTATGTTGATTTAGTGCTAGAATCAATCGTTAGACTTTGGAGAGCTGCAATTGGGGATAATTTTAATTTCATGCACCATAATGCACCTCCCCATACCAGCAGAGTGGCTAGAGAATATCTTGAAATGGAAGGTGTTATAGTTTTGGACTGGCCTACATGTTCACCAGATCTAAACTCTACACTCACACTTGGGGTACCAGGTCAAAAAGAAGGGTTAGAGCTTGTCGAAACAATCCAGCAAATCTCGCACAGCTTATTGATGCAGAATTAGCAGAATGGGAAAACGTAACCCAAAGACAACGTTACAATTATCAATTTTCTTTTTGTTTTTGCTTTTTGACCATTAAAAAATACCATTGTTTTTATTTTGGGAACTTATTATTTATTTATTGCTATATGGATTATTCCTCATTCTTTGGTAAGGACTGAGTTTTATTCATAAACACAAAATGATCACACGTCTTAAAAATTATGAAAAATAATAGATGATTCCATATAAGTTTGGTTGTGTGTATATGTTTAATAAGTCCTCACGTAATCACATCTCTCCTACAAGAAACAAAAATATGTTACTAACAAATCAAATTAGAACTACCACCACTTACGAGAGTTTAAAAAATAGCGCCTTAAGAAAGTTTAAAACACTGCCAGACCTGAAAACGTTTAAAAAAGAATTAAAATTATCTCTTGTGTCAAGGTGTGATTATAGTGTAAAGAACTCCTTTGATAAGTAACTGTAAAGAATCTATAGCATACTACTTTATTTTTATTTTTAAATTTCTTTTGTATTACTTTAGTATGTACTATTATTTTTTTTATTGGATGTCGACGGTGTTCCACATTGTTATGCAATATTATTGAACTAAATGAATCTATCTATCTACCATCGTTGCTGGTATACAGGGTGCACCAGGCGTGCATTACATAAACATACTACAGAGTGTGCATTAGAAGTTTCTACACAACTACAATATCTGGATCGGAGATTTTTTGCACATTACTGTTTCACAACGAAACATATCGATTAAAAATTGGCACCGGGAGGCACGTATAGCCGCCCATACTAAAATATGTTAATATCTCGAAAACTGCGACTGACTGATTTTGATGTTATTACAAATTTTGTTGCAAATATTATTCCTAATCTTAATTTGAAAACCGCGTTTCGCTAGCTACTGTAATTTTGGAGTTACGATTTTTTAAAAATTTTAACCCCCTCCCACACCCCCTTACCAACCCCCCACCCCCACCAAAAACAAATGGCCCGATTCTCGGGTGCCACAGTATTTTTGTGCCAAATTTGGTTAAAATCGGTTCAGCGGTTTTTGAGTTATCGTGTTACAGACGGACAGACAGATAGACAAACTGGTTGATATAGTCTAGTTATTGTTGATTTAAAATAAATCTCTAAACGTTAAAAAATGTTAATAAAATGTTTTTCTTCAATAATTCTGTTTTGATATTTCGGTACTTAGCGTCTGTCTCTTACTCATGGTTTTCAATTAGGCAATCAGAAGGCTTACCTCCTGCTCCTTCGCCTGCTGCCCCTCCTGGACTTGCCGCATCCTCCTCTCCTGCTCCTGCTTCTGCTTCTTCTGCTTCTTCTGCTTCTCTTCCTGCCTCCTCGCCGGCTACCGCCGCCGCAGTAGGAGCTGATCGGGATCCGGTGACAGCCGGACCTCGACCGAGATCGGGCCATTGTAGCGCGCCCCCTTCTTCTTCTGGATACTCAAACGAAAATTTTGAACAACGACAACACGCCACTTACATTACATTACACGCACCACGCCTCGAAAGAAAAAAATCACCCGCAAATTTTGCTCGTTAGATTAGCATGTTTGCAATTTTGACAAGAATCGTTGCGTTCTGTTGAATCCGGATAGAAAAACTGTTATGGATACGTCAACGGGATGTTTTTGTTCGGGCATGGCTAGCTCGGCAGTTTGTTTGATTGTTTCGATGATTACCTGAGTGTCAACAGTTACGTTTGAAAGGAGTTTTGAACGATTTGTCATTGTCAAACTAGAAATTGAAATTTATAAAATAGCTATTTATGTAACAACATCCCATACAGCACGCCCAAATGAAATTACGTTTCTACAAGGGAGACACATGAGGAACAAAATATGTTAAAATGAACCTAAGTGTTCGTCTAGTTCTAACATATACATATGAGATACACGCAGGTTTATATTGATAGAATTGTGTGATACAGTGTTTACTAGTTGTATACCGTATGCACTCAAGATTCTAAAGAGTTTTTGTAACGTAACAAATAATTATTGTAATGATGAAATCTGACGTTGATACATGAGACATACAATGAATAAGTCATATGTATGTGTGATACTTCGTATCATAGTTGTGCCTATAGTACACACCTTGTAAAAATGTGACGTATACACATAATATAAATATCTATATAGACATTTTGTAATACTGTACTGTTGTGTCTACATTCTAGCATGAAATGAAGCGTAGATACACCGACCAAGTGTATCTTATGTGTCCTCTCTCCTTTCTCCTTTCAAGGGGTGGTATGTGTTAGCAGCTATTATTGTTTTATCATTCGGAAGCTCTATATAAATGTTCTGTTTGTGTGTAGTTTAAAAGAGATTTTAAGGTAAGCACAAGTTTTTAATTACCTTGTTACACCTTCCTAAGAGTATTATTAATACTATAGCAGCGACTCTTTCCTTACTCGATACCCAATTTACCAAATTTTGACTCCAATGAATGAAAACTCCAAATATTCTCGTATAATGATAAAGAGGTTAGCTCTGCAATATATTTTTTTTTAATTTGGAAATAATAAAAATCTAAATGGACCAGAGAAAGAAAGATTTAAACACGTCAAAGAACTTCTTACACTGATATTCGGTAAGTTATTGATGGATCAATATACAGATATGTTTAATATTCAATAATCAGTTTCATATAAAATTTAAGAGTGAGATTGTTAATCTGGAAATAAAATACAACAAATTCCAACAGAGTGCTCGTTGAATGAGTATGTTAACAAACCAACTGATTGGAGGGAAAAGAGGAGAAAAAAATGACTAAACGGGGTCCACCAAATCGTGGCGATATACCAGTGTTTACTATTTTAGTATGTTGTTATACAAGGTACTTATATTTTTAATACATTTTATACAAATTCTGTTCTTTTACAGTGTTTTCTTACTTCTGGTTTCTGCAGTGTAAATAATAATTATTATTGTGTTATTTGCGATATTGCGTTTCATGATATAAAGAAATATAAGAATTTTATCTTTTAACCACTTAATCCATTTTATGGAAGAAAAGTGGTACATTTAATACAAAACAAAAATGAAACAATTTTAAGACTACTTCTCTTGAACTTACGATCGAGATACTTTTGGAAAATACGAAGTTTTCGTTCTAAAAAGATATAATTGGTGCCATTGAATAAATATTTTTTAAAAAGAACGAAATGTTAGGCATCAAAACTTGTATTATTTCCTAAATTCGTTCATAAGAAGTAGTTTTATCTAGCTCAAGATGTATAGACGAAGCAAAATACATACTTATACACGCTGTAGTCACAACTGCAATGTGTAAACATAGTTTAAACGTAATACACAAGCACTGTGTATCCTATGGCACACTCTGTATCCCGTCCTTTGTGTATACGTAAATGCTATACTGTGGCTACATTGTGAGGCGGACGTTTAACCTCTGTGCATACGTGTTGAACTACAATGTGTAGGTGAACGTAGCATATTTACATCGGGGGAATTGTGTCACCCTGTGTCTACGTCTAATAATGTAAACACATCGTAAATGTGATTTGATGTGCTGTATGGGATGTAACAAGTTGTGAAATGAATGTGTTTTAAGCACGGGACGCAAAATTGTCCAACGATGCGAAAGCCGAGTTGGACAATGCGTCGAGTGCATAAAACACTCTTTTCGCAACGAATTTCATACAAGATTTTTTGTGAAAGCGGATAATTTAAGATTTTCATGCTATTATTATTTAATTTTAAACATTTTTCAAAATGTTCTGGTAATCGGTTTCTAAGGCATTGTTTAATGACAAAGCTCTGTCAGGTTCAAACGTCGCAGTATTTCCTACAAAGTTTTGTGAAAAAATGAGTGATAATGACGAGTCTTTGGATATTCAACAAGCTGCTGAAACTGCGCTATCCACGTTAGTGCCCGGGAAGTCGAAAAACTTGTACGAGACCACCTACAACAGCTTTGAAACCCGGGTCAAAGAAAAACATGTTGAGAATTTCACAGAAAAGGTATTGCTAGCCTATTTCCTGAAGTTATCCACTACCTTAAAGCCGTCATCTCTGTGGAGTATTAATAAAAATATTCGATGCTATCTCCGCACCATGATTTACCTGAACAGAATCGTAGATATTAGCAAATTCACAAACCTTATTGCATTTTTAAAAAGAAAAGCTTCCGGATACCAGGCAAAGAAATCAAAAGTATTTACAAAACTGGACGTAGAACGCTTTATGAAAGAAGCCGACGACAAAGAATTCCTGCTAGCTAAAGTTGTCTTAATCGTTGAAGTATTTGGAGCATGTAGGAGGGAAGAACTCACGTTTTTAACCGTAGATGCCATTAAAGATTGTCAGTCATTTATTAGTGTGAAGATTCCGAATACAAAAACTCATTTTCCAAGAGTGTTTACGATTACTGAGGGACCAATAGATGGTATCAATTTCTTACATTTATTTCGTAAGTACGCAAAACTTCGACAACTCAATGTGACACATCAGCGATTTTTCTTGACGTATCGAAAAAATCAATGCTGTACCCTGCCAGATGGAATCAATACAATTGTAGGTATGCCAAAAAAGATGGCGAAATTTCTTGGACTCTCCAACGCCATTGAATACACTGGTCATTGTTTCCGGCGCAGCCCTGCAACAATGCTGGCAGGTTCAGGAGCGGACATAACAGTAAAGCGACATGGAGGTTGGCGATCAAGCTCGGTTACATTGAAAATTCAATTGAACAGAAAACCGAAATAGCAAAAAGAATCATGGGACAGAAAGATACGCCAAATAAGAAATTAAAAGCAGTTCACGTAGAAGCAGAAGCTACCAGCATTGCCAGTACAAGAAATTTACTTATTCCGACTCCTACAACTTGCATTTCTTTTAGAAACGAAAAGTTGGATGTCTCTTGTATTCACTTTAATAATTTAAATAATTGTACCGTTAAGATTTATAATAAATAAATATTTTCATTGTTTCTAACGTTTCATTTTTTACTTTTAGGCACTAGTGCCTATACTCTGTTTTTTTTTCTCAGGTAAGATTTCGACAGACGATGACAGAAGAAAAGCAGATGACGTCCCATACCAATCTATTTATTTTACTAAAAAAAGTTTCTAATAATTTTTAAGTCATCTATGGATGGGTTTAAATATAAATCCGTCATGCGTCGTGTCTTCTTGTTTTTAACCAGTTTTATTGGTTTATTTAAAAAATGACAGATCGTATTTCAATTTTATTGGTTTGACGGAACGATGAACGATGAACGGACGCCGATGCGTATGAACTCGCCTTTAGATTTTTGTCATTTTTGACGCTTGTCAAAGTCTTGCCAAATTATAGGTTATAATTTTGTGTCAACTTTTGTTAAATACCCTGCGTTTTGGAAGATGATGCATTTGGATTCGTATTATTACGTGTGTTCTGTGTCTTTTGAAGTCAAGTGGAGGAAAAATCGAGTGAAAATTAACTGTAGACCCAGAGCACAGTTTATGGTTAATACTCGCTGCCCAGGCAGAAAGTCTTATACACCAATGAAGTTGCCATCGATAAAGTTTGTATACCATCTCGTCGTAGATAAGTGCCATCTCGTATATGGTAGAAGGATCAAACTAAAACATACTAAAAACTGGAGTAGCTGTAAAATATCGACATCACACGATAGGTAAATAATGGATTTTAGTACTGCAGAAAAATAATGTCAAAAGGTACTGGTTTAAAAAAATTAAGATTAAAGTTAATTAATCAACCTTTAAGGTATAAAATTTGGTAGGTGTTATTATTAATAAAATAGTTTGTTTTATTTACCTATGTTGTTTTATTTATTCCTGGAATATTACAAATTTGTATTTGGACATAAGTTATATTGATAAATATAATCATAAATGCGCGGGTAGTTTCATAAAGCTTGAAAGTAAAAAATAGTTCTTTTTTATATTTTTTTGGTATGGTTAGGGTTTGATAGGTTAACACATACCGTTTTTTTTAAATAAAATAACTCGATTACATTTTTTCAGTTTTATACAGTTTTTTTTCACAATATTTTGAAGTAATCACTTGTCATCTTGTCAATCAAATTTTAAATATTTCCTGCTATGCGTGGTCATCGTGAAACAAGAAGAAGAAGAAGATTTCCTGCTATGCGTTCCAGTTGTACCAACTTATTTCTTTGTAAAATAAAATAAACTACTTTGAAATTAAAATGACAGACACATCTATCACTGTCAAGGATCTTCTCGTTGGACAGACTATAAACAAGTTTTGTGTCACTTTTAGATACTAGTGCCTAAAAGAATGTCATTTCGAATCTCAAATAAATATAAAAAAAAGTATAATAATGTTTATTATTTTTTTGCAGGATTCTAGTTGGTGCTCCAAAAGGACAAAACTTACAACCGGGAACCAATCAATCGGGTGCTCTGTACAAGTGCCCAATCACCACAGCTGACAATGATTGTATCCAAGTGGAAACAGATGGTCACAGAAGTAAGTCAGAATGAATTAAAAATCTCTAATTTATTGGTATTTTTTTTTAAATCTCCTTTTTATCACAATAAATACTCAGATTTTTATTTAATTCTATATCATAATTCTATAGTAAAAGATCCTAAAGTTCTAGAAAAGCTTTCAGAATACCCATACATATTAAACCGAAATAATATCAGCTACTATATTTAAAACTAATACAAATAAATAAAACGTTTTAATTTAAAGTTTCTTATTCTGAAAGCTTCATGCTTTTTGGTCTAACGCTCTAAATACAAGCTACCTAGAGTTCTTGTACAAACACGAAAATAGTGTTAGACTAGACTAGTGATAGCTGATAACACTTTTAGATGATATTTATGTGTTCTTTTAGATAAATGTGTTAGATGTTAGATATTATTTTAATTATTTTCGTGTGATTTTTTTTAGTTGTCGGGGTTTTGAGTTTGAGTTAGGGTATGATATTATTTTATCTAAAAAAAAATCGTATATCACAACAGATCATTTTTGAATTATTATTTCTTGTCAGTATTATACAACTTTTTTGAATCTATTGTGTCCCCATTTCTTAAATTATAACTCATCGTACAGTCTCAGGGCTTTGATAAAAGTCAGTATTTGAGACGGTCTTACAGAGGTGGAAAAAAATAAAAATATAGAAACAAATGTATCTGTGACGTTTATTTCTTTTTATTTAGTGCCCCAAATTTACGGCTCGGATGATATTTTCTAAAATCATTAACGTATCCAGTATATTTTCGATCATTTCTCATAGGATGCGAGTTTCTCAAAAAACAAAATTTGATTTACTTGATATGGGCATATTTTTGAGTAGAGAGATAACAGGGAAAATCAAAATGAATATACTCTTTTTTCTTACATTGGATGATACATACAGTTTATACATTATACAGGGTGGCCCATCGAAAACGTTCCGCAAGGCATAACGGCCAGGGTATTTTTTTCCAAAAATTCAAAAACACGTCAATTTTGTTTGTGAGGGGGACAACTTTTGCCCCAAAAATGATTGCAAAATCTTCAACCCTCTAAGAGGGGGTGTCATCCACCAACTTTTTTCAAATGGGAAGGGGAGTCAAGTGGCGCCGCAATGAAAAGAGCTTTCTATTCTCTCATTGAGAAATTTTAAAAGTTTATTTAAACATTTATCAGAGTAAAAGATAAGGATAAATTCCTTCGACCAATTTGAGGTTTATTATTATTTTTTCTAGATGATTATGCATTTTTTCACTTGCAATAAGGTTGAACGATCAGGTGCGGTAGTTGCTAGATAGCCGTTCTGTGACTTGTGTGTTGAAGTTCTTCTCAATATCGTTAAACTGACCCACAATAGAATTTCCACAAATACCAGCCAACACGTTCAATTTCTGAGGGTTTTGTGTGTGCACCTCGTGAAAAACCCTGGAGTTGTCCTCAGCCCAGTACCGACAGTTGTGCCGATTAACTGTACCGTTCAGAAAGAAAGTACACTCATCCGAAAAACACACATTAAATAGGAAGTTATTATCATTCACCACTCGTTCACTCATAGTTTCACAAAATTGCAAGCGACGATCAAAATCGTCTTCGTTGAGTTCTACCAACTGAAATTTGTACGGGTGGAACTTGTGTTTTTTTAATATCCTTTGGAAACTTGTACGATTCACGCCGGTCTCATTGGCTAATTTTCTTGTACTCAGCGTACTATCCATGGCAGCTTGGCCCAAAAAGCCGTCTAGAAATAATAAGAAAAAACTGCAAATTGGTCGAAGGAATTTATCCTTATCATTTACTCTGATAAATGTTTAAATAAACTTTTCAAATTTCAATCCTTTATATTTCCTCAATGACTCGACCGATTTTCAAAAACGAAGCGGGAAAGTATAGAGAATAGAAAACCCTTTTCATTGCGGTACCATTTGACCTCCCTTCCCATTTGAAAAAAATTGGGGGATGACACCCCCGCTTAGAGGGTTGAAGATTTTGCAATCATTTTTGGGGCAAAAGTTGTCCCTCTCACAACAAAATCGACGTGTTTTTGGATTTTTTGAAAAAAAATGATCCTGGCCGTTATGCCTTGCAGAACGTTTTCGATTGGCCACCCTGTATAAATTAGATCATTACATATTATCTACATATTTCCTTTAACAGTCTCTGGTTGAAAAATCGACCACCACCCCTCACTCCCTTATTTGTTAACTTTTTGAAGAATTTTATTAAGCATATAGGTACATATATGCTCTCTTTGTGCTAGTGTATACAGGGTGTTTCAAAACAAATGCGAAAAACTTTAGGGGGTGATTCGTTGTTCAAAATAAAGGGTAGTTTGCTTTATAAACGTTGGGTGAAAATTCAACCATTAGGGAGATATCGCGGTACAAAGATGGCGGAAAATTAATGTTTTTATTTTTTATCTTGAAAACGAAAAGAGATAGACTAATGAAATTTTATGGAAGCATTACTGTTATGAAAACACACTTTCTGGTAATTTTTTCACTTTTTTAAAATGAGTGGAAGGGGTTAAAATAAACTACCGCTTTGTTGTTAACAACTTTTGCCCCCCCCAAAAATGATCAAAATGCAAAACCCTAATTTGGATAGTTTCATGTTTAGAAACTTTTTATATCTTGTGTTTTTTGATAAAATTCAACGATTTGAAATTAAAAAATAAAATGTTTCTATTCTCTCATTGAGAAAAAAAAAATTTTTTTTTAAGAATCTAGTGATAATAACGATAATAATAAATCATCTAGATAATAACGTATTTAGTATAATGTCAAATAAAATAATATTAGGAACATCCTAAAGCAACAGCGGCCGACTAGATTTTTCTTCTTATTAGTGGCAATTGGACAATATGGATATTTTTTTGTATGGCGTATGACGTCACAGCATTACATGTCCTGACATGTAATGCTTTACATTTTATTTTTTAATTTCAAATCGGTGAGTTTTATCAAAAAAATACAAGAGATAAAAAAGTTTCTAAACAAACTAAACTATCCAAATTAATTTTTTTGCATGTGTTTGATAAGATTTTTCTTTAAATTTCGTTAACAAGAATGATAGGGGTAGTTTATTTCAACCCCTTCCACTCATTTTAAAAAAGTGAAAAAATTACCAGAAAGTGTGTTTTCATAACAGTAATGGCTTCCATAAAATTTTATTAGTCTATCTCTTTTCGTTTTCAAGATAAAAAATAAAAACATTATTTTTCCGCCATCTTTGTACTGCGATATCTCCCTAATGGTTGACTTTTGACCCAACGTTTATGAAGCAAACTACCCTTTATTTTGAACAAGGAATCGCCCCTGAAGTTTTTCGCATTTGTTTTGAAACACCCTGTATATTTTTGAAGTCACTTTGATCAAACTAGTACAAAATAATTAGTACTGCCCTTTAAAGGGTTAAAATATAATACTGGCAGGACAATAATATGGAATCATCTGTTTTTTTTTTAAATTTATTTATGCTTGATTGATGTTGAGGAATGTTCGTGTTAGATAGATAATAAAAATAAATATAGATCATTTTTTTTCAGTAGCTTTAATTTAATTTTTTTATCCCTGTCAATCAACTCGGGGTAAATGTACCATTTTTAACATTAACCTTTTTTGTTTTTTTCCCGGGGTACAATTTGCAGAGCCCAACGGAAGGTATATATGTAAGTGGTGGTCTCGATACCATAGAATATAATCATGGTGGTACCATGTATCATGGTACCTCGTCCCTCTTGGTAAAGGCATGAGTAATTTTGCTAATTTTTTGACTAGTTCGCATGTAAATACCAGACTTTGTGCATGGCTAATGGCTCATTGTAGATATCTATCAGCATTATATTGTATATTATTAGAAAATTAGATTTTTTTAATTTTAAAGTACAATAAAATTAAATTAGGTTCAAGCGGTAGGTGGTTCTTGAGTACTAACATAGAAAATCTCTTAAGAAGCGGGGCTGGGTATTCACGGGTAATTTTGTGTAAGATGACTGTGCAAGAATCGGAAATTCTTGTTATTTAATTTAATAGAATGATTCAAAGTTTCTTATTTGCATTTCACGGATTATAGGTACAAGCATTTAATGTTATCGATTCATATGTATCTACATTTATGAAACTGATTGATATTTGAAAAAAAATGTGTGTACACTATGTGAAACTTCTTACTAAAGGCGGTCACAGACTGGCGTGAACTTCATTCATGCTTGTGCGTTGATATTCGCTAGTGTGTGGTTAAAATTTGACACACCTGTGCGTCGCACAAGTTTTCTGTTCAGAATTGAATTCATCAACGCGCAAACATCAACGTACATACATGTATATCGGTGTGTGGACGAAATTTCTTCTTAGTTTATTTTTAGATCCAGTGTCTCGCCCAAATTTTTAAGATTTGTATCAATCGTGCTATTTCCTTCCAAATGTCTGATTTAAGAAACTATTGAAATGATTTTATTAAGGAGTTTATTGAACTTTATAAAAGTTTCCCGTGTTTGTGGAAAACTAAATGTAAAGAATATACGAATAGAACAAAAAAAGATGCAGCGTACGTCATTACTGAAAAAACTACAAGAGGTTGAACCAACCTCAACAAAAAAAAGCGTTAGGGTTAAAATAAATAATATTCGTGGAAGCTTCCGAAGAGAAATTAAAAAAACCGAAGAATCAAAACGTTCAGGAGCAGGAACAGATGAAATATACGTTACGCACCTATGGTATTACGATTTACTCTTATTTTGCAAAGATCAAGAAGTTCCTCGAATATCAGTCAGCAACATTGACGATCAAGAAACCTTTACCCATTGGGTACGTGTTTGATGATGTTTTTTAAATTTGCTTCTCTTTTTTTAATAATGCATGCATACGCCACTGATAAATATAGAAAATCGTCTTCACACATCGTTCACAATCAAACTGTATGTTTGACACTCAATCATACACTTATGACATTCGTGTATGACACACATCCATGCCAGTGTGTGACGGCCTTAACAGCTATTAAATTGAAGGATTTGAAGGACATGTTTGAAAAAGTGTAGTTTGAACATCTGGCTCTTTGATATAGTCTTTTACTATGTTTCTTGAACAGCATGCGGCCCTCTGGCTGTGCCGATAATTGTTGTAAGCATATTGTCAGCATCGGAAGAAGATCTTATATTTTTTATTAATTTAGTCTACTAATAAAAATATAGGATCTTCTTTCAATGCGCAGTAGGGAACGCAACGTTTACTGGCAGTCATACGGGCCGCATGCTGTTCTAGAGAGCAAAGTAAAAAAGCGTCTTCACACATCGTTCACAATCAAACTGTATGTTTGACACTCAATCATACACGTATGACATTCGTGTATGACACAAATCCACGCCAGTGTGTGGTGGCCTTTAACAGCTATTAAATCAGTGGATTTGAAGGACATGTTTGAAAAAGTGTAGTTTGAACATCTGGCTCTTTTGATATATCTTTTACTATGTTTTTTATATGCGGCCCGTCTGGTTGTCGATAATTCTTGTAGCCACACTACTGCGCATCGGAAGAAGATCTTATAGTTTTTATTAATTTAGTCTACTAATAAAAATATAGGATCTTCTTTCAATGCGCAGTAGGGAACACAACGTTTACTGGCAGTCATACGGGCCGCATGCTGTTCTAGAGAGCAAAGTAAAAAAGCGTCTTTACACATCGTTCACAATCAAACTGTATGTTTGACACTCAATCATACACGTATGACATTCGTGTATGACACAAATCCACGCCAGTGTGTGGTGGCCTTAACAGCTATTAAATTGAAGGATTTGAAGGACATGTTTGAAAAAGTGTAGTTTGAACATCTGGCTCTTTGATATATCTTTTACTATGCTCTCTGGAACAGCATGCGGCCCCTCTGGCTGTCGATACCCGTTGCGTTCACTACTGCGCATCGGAAGTAGATCTTATATTTTTATTAATTTAGTCTACTAATAAAAATATAGGATTCTTTCAATTTACTGGCAGTCATACGGGCCGCATGCTGTTCTAGAGAGCAAAGTAAAAGATATATCAAAGGGTCAGACGTCTTAAAATACTTGTTTTTCCGACGTTGCTAGCTCTCGTACTATAATATTTAGCTTATAAAAATAAAATAATCAACTTTTGATTTCTAACCACGATAATTTCTCTTGACTGAAGATAATCAAATGCCAAAATGACATTTCTCGCAAATTTTGAAGTATAATTAGTGGAAAAGTTAAAAGCATAGATAAATGCAACAAGTTTAGATTGGAAAGCCCCTAAAAATTTTGGGTCGCGAAATTATTTTGGGTCGCGACCGTTATACGCGATCTGGCGCTGCTATAGCGGTCGCTAAGAACAACGGCAAACAAAAACAGAAATAATTCTCTCTTGTCAAAGTCAGAATCTTCAAAATTCATAATAATCTTTCAAAATCTAAACCGCTCTTATTAAAGAAATTCCGAAAAGTGTTTATAGCGTCCATTTTCAAAGTAATTATTGCTATCTTATGAATTTAATTCAAGTTTTATTTACTCCAACTGGTGATAATTGTGAAAAAGTGGCATTAAAAACTTAAAAAGCTGTGCTGTGAACTGTAAACTGCAAAAACCATCGTGGATCGTGGCATAACGTTGGTTTCCAAAGTTTGATAGGTATTTCATACATGCGTCCTTATATAAAATAAAGTTTCTTGTATGCAACCCACTGTGTTTTATTTATAAAATTAAACGAAAATAATAATAAATTTGAATAAACAATATTTGGCGATATAATTCCGGAAAAAGCCGAACAGCTCCGAAATTTTCATAAGTTTTGGGTCGCGACCGTTGCAAGAATAGCGCCAAATAGTGTTTACATTGTCCTTATGGGCACTTTCCAATCTAAACTTGTTTCATTTATCTATGGTTAAAAGTTTGATAATTCAACTAAACTTTATACTTAAAAATTTATGAAATAATCATCTTACACAGAACTCCTTTAGAATACCTAAGCTCTTCCCTGGTTTTCCTTTTTTAAAACTCTTTCTTCTATTTCTCTATTCTTAATTATAATTCTCGTCGATGGTATAACATAAAAATACACAAAAAAACAATATAATATTAATTAACATAACTAAATTTACAAGTACTACTACTTTTTAATATAGACATTTTACATTTATCTACTTCAGTAATCAAACATTAATTATTATATCAAAATAACATCGTTATTTATAAACAAATATAACTTTTTCTTTAACAAATAACTAAATAAACTGGTTTAGAGGGAATTAACTTATTTTAGAGTTCTTAACAATAATAAAATAAAATAAATGAATTAATAGTATCGGGGATGTATTTTTGCAGAGATTTTTTTAATTTAATTTATTTAATCTGTATAATTTTCTTCTTTGGGTCCCTCTAAACTGATCTTCTCTATGTACTTGATATATTTGAATAGTTTTTCTCAGTTATCTTATTGTTAAATACAATAAAAAACAAGTCAAAATGAGTGTGAAATATGATTATCATAAAAAAAGTCCTATGGGTATGATTTCTACTAGTAGAGGGCGCCACCTACGTATTTTTTAACTGGTTTGAAGGGTAATAACTTTTCGTCCGTACCTGTATAAAACTACAGAGTAAAAAAATATACATTTACGACGTTTTTTACGTAAAAAAAGGTCTCTTGGTAAAAATGGCTATGAGTAATGGTTTTCGAGATATTTTGAATCGAAATTATCAATACCTGTCATCATTGACATAAATTAAACATGTTGATGAAGTAGTTGTTAGACTAACATCATAAATTTGAAAAGTTTTTGTGCAAAAAGTTCAATCTTCTTCTTAAAGTGACTATCCTCTTTGTATGTTGGCTATCACATTGGTCCATATTACTTTGTTCACTGCCGTTCTGAGCAAAGCTGTTGACGTCATTCCGGTCCATGTTCATAGATTTCGCAGACACGATATTCGTCTGCGTCCCGCTGATCTTCTGCCTTCTATTTTCACCTGCAGTATGAGTTGGAGTAGGCGGTATTTCTCGTTCTGCGTCATGTGTCCGAAGTATTCCAGTTTTCTGCGTTTGACATTCACCAGAAACTCCAAGTCCTTGTTGATGCGGTGTAGTACTGTCTCATTTGACACGCGATGCACCCACGAAATCCTAAGCATGCGCCGAAATCCTAAGCATGCACACGCTTGCATGATGCGTCGGTAAGGGTCCATGCCTCTGTTCCATACAGAAGGGTTGAGAGCACGTAGCATCTCAGGATTCTGATTCTAGTGCGGACGTTGAGGGACAGGTTGCATAGTATATTTCGCATTTTGTTAAATGTCCCTCTCGCGATTTCGATTCGGTGTTTTATTTCGCGCGAGTGGTCCCAGTCTTTAGTCAGGGTGCAGCCCAGGTATGCAACTGTCTCGGGCGCTGGGAGAACGATGTTGTTAGCAGTGAACTGAAAGTTGTTGATGTAGTTCTTGCTAATGATCAGCGTTTGAGTTTTCTTGCAGTTCATCTTCATTCCGTATCTGCTCTATGTATTCGCCACACGATCTATAAGCCTTTGGAGACCTTCAGCGGTATCGGCCAACAGAACGGTATCATCTGCATATCTCAAATTGTTTATTATTTCTCAGTTTATTACCAGCCCATCCTCTGTGCCATCCAGTGCCTCTCTAAATAGATGTTCCGAGTACAC